GGCGAGTGGAGCATGGTGCGCAGGTTCCTGGTGACCGTCCGGATCCGCCGTGGGGGTGGCCCGCCACGCGTGAGATCGTTTGTAGTGCACATTGTGGGGTCCCCGTGGGAGTGGGGGGAGGCGAGGCAGCGCGCCCTGGACCTCGTGCTGTGTCTGCTGAGGAGCGTGTGGAGGAGGCAGCCGCCGCATCCTAGAAGACCAGGTAGGAAAGGCCCTCGACCGACTGGATAGATTGCTTGATTGCGGTGGGAGTGATTTAGTTAACAGATAAGTCACCTTCGGGACCTGGCGAGGGGCGCGAGCTGGCGCAGAGGGTGGGGGGGCGGCTCTGCTCCCCGGGCTCAGCGCTGAGGCTCTGCACGAACTCCCCAGTTCTGTGAAAGTGCCGGCAGCGGGGAGAGTGCGTTCTCCTGCGCAGCCCTCGATTCCTGGCGGGAGGTCTCGGCCACCCTCTCTTCCCTCCTCTGTTCCAGGTCCCCATTAGTCCAGGTGTGTTTCCACAGGTTTTCGCCCTCAGCTTAACAAATACCTGCCCCCGGGGTCCCCGCCGTCCTCGCTTTTTTCTGGAAGCTGCCTTTTCCCTCGCCGCATCCAGATCCCGCGGAGAAACGCGGGAGGGTGGGGACTCCTGCAGGTTTGACTTCCCCACGATTTGGACGAATCCTCGACCCCCAAACTAGGACCCCACCCAGGATCAGTAAATGCTTCCGAGGAGCCACACTTGTTTTCTCGGGCACCGTGCAGCCCAGAGAGAGAGAGGGACTTTTGTGCGAAGTCAGAGGGTTGTTTTTTTTTTTACTCGGTGATTAGAGTGAGTGCAATTGCGCTCTGCACGATTCCCCAAAAGTTTAACAGGCCGCAGCACCGCGGTGATGTCTCCTGGAGTCACGACTGACAAGATTTCCATTCTCTCAGACCATAGTGAACGTAGTTTTCTTAAAAGTGAGGCCTACTCTTTAGAAACAAAAAGCACTGAAGTTGTTTTGCCTTGACATCACAGTATTCTTTCACAGCCAGTGTGACCAAGTCCCTAACTAAACCCAGGACAGTTCGGGGGTGGCGGGCAAATATTTACGGTCAATAGAATCCTCGTAGAATTTGGGTAAGTCTAAAAAATAATTTAACGAGGTTTCATTTTTGTGTCTGTCTTTGGTGACATCACATCAGCACATCCCCGGGAATCTTCAAAAAGCAAAGGCCTCAGGGGTTGTTTTTATGGCAACATTTGGTGGGATTTTTAACATGGAGCTATGCAAGTTTTATAACTATCAGTGTTTAATTTGGTGCTTCGGTTTCGTTTAGCAAAAGCCAAGGAACAATTTACAGGATAAGCATATGATTTTCATCCGATTCTGAAAGTTCGGTTAAAAGGGTGGAGCAATAAGAGGAGAGAATAGAAGATTTCAAGGTGTATTGCTGGACTTTATTTAAGGTCATTTTAAAGCTTTAATAAGACCTTATTTTGATTTTTTAGTTTAGTGGTCTTTTATGGTACCAACAAACATTAAGCTATGGTGATTTGTTGGTGCTGGAAAACCATAGTTGATAAGATTACTTTTTAAGAAAATAGGGTTACTTTTTCTAAATGATATTATTTAACATCATTAGTTGTTTCTACAGTAGAAAAATATAAATTTTAGCCAACGTAAATACTAAAGTTATACTCACCACTTTAGAAATATAAAATTTCTGGTTACTTTAAAGTTAGCAAGCATATTAATTATATTTTAAAACATATGTATGTATGTAAATGATATAATCTCTGAAATTATCATCCACCTATTTATTTAGGTATTATTCCATTTTAAGAATGATGTGTAAAATTAATAAAATGGATCCACTCTGTAAAAACTACCTTTTGCATGCAGTGCAAGAAGCTAGAGCACATGGCCTGACAGGAAGAGAGTGTACTTGAAAATATATGTAGTTCTCTAACTTCACTCGTAGATGTAATTATACAGGAAATATATGGAGTGTTAATTATTAATTGTATGTGATGGTTTCATATTGCTATATATTTTTGCCTATGATTGTATTAATGTAAAAGTATATCTATACACACATACACACTAATTATATTTAGCAACACTCAAAATCTTGAAAGCTTTAGGTATTAAAATAAAAATCCTTGTATAAATTACTTACTATTAATGCAAATATATAAAGTATGACCAATTTAATTCTTTTACATTTTTGCTAATATGCTTGTGATAGCTGTTTTATTTTTATATGATTGGAAAATACGTATAATAAAATTCCACATTATTGTCTACACATAATGGTGAGTTACATCTGTTAATTTATTGCTTCTACTTTGGAGTGTTTGTAAAATAGGAATTTATTTACTGCCTCTGCAGAAACTATCAAGGTGGATTTTTTGTGTGTTTTAATACAGTAGTGTCCTCTCAAAGTGAACAGTGATTCCAAAGCCAGTATTTAGTATTATCATACTGTTTGAGGGAACTTGACCTTTAAAAAAAAAAAAATTCTTCCTAAGGTAGCAACACTATTACTGTATATGTTCATAATATTTTAGAGATCTAAATTTACATATTAGTTTCTTAGTACACTTCAGCTAAAGCATTTTTCCAATATGTAAAGTATTTACTGTTAGTATAGAGACCCAAATAATCTCAAAACTGCTTTCCTAAATCAAAAGTGAACATTTGGCCTACTCTTTTTTTAGCTTTTCTTCATTTCTGAGAAACCTAAACACCTTCGTTTGTTCCTCTCCCTGTCACCAGTGCCCTAGGCCTCTATATCTTGCAATATCTAACCAAATTAAAAAGTGTTGTGTGCCTTGTTGTCTTCAGCTTTATTTATATAAACCACAGATATTGTTTCCTTTTTTTTTAAGTATAAGATCACAATATTGAGTATGCTTTTTTCCCCCCAAACTAGTTCTCTAAATTCTGATTCTCACATGTATTTCTATGGTTTTGCAAGTGTTTGTTGCCTGAGGTGGGTAAGGCCCTTCCTTAAACCCCACACTAACAACTGAAACCATTTTCAGTTTGTATTAAGAACTTCTAAAATATGCATACACTTTCATTTAGTTATTTTATATCTAGGTATTATCCTAAAGATAGATTCTGGCAAAAAATCAATACGCAAATAGTAGCTGTAAGTTTAAAAGTACCTAACCATCTGGCAGTTAAGGAGGCAGTAAAACTATATTAAGTACAACTATATAATTAGACAATCATTAGTCATCATATTTTTGAAGAATAGTTAATATAACATGACAGCATTATAAAATTAGATTATTTAAAAATAATATATACAGCTGTTAAAATAGCATACCTTTCTTTTTCTCTTTACACACAGTGTATGTCTTCTTCTCTATTTACTTAAATATGTATAATATATAGTAGTATAATTATTTACCAAAAAAAAGTCTCCAGATGAAAACAGAAATCATGAGATGGAACAATACACATGCTTTTCAAAGCTTTAGCTCCTCAGTAATTACACTGGATGACATGAACTGAAAGCTTGTCTCCAGGTAGGTGCGTAGGGAGGAAAAATAAGTGGGAAAACTGAGTTTATTCAGTTGGAAGAGGCTCAAGGGATTGACCCTGCAGATTCTACTGCACACAATGCTGGCTCACTGTTTATTTCTGCTTTAAAATAAGTCTTAAGTCAATGATGAAATGAAGCTCTAGCTGTATCAGGGAATTTTGATGGTTAAGTTGTTAGAGCATTAGATTACTGCTTCAAACCCACCAGCTGCTCAAAGGATGAAAGATGTGTCCCTCGATTTGCATGAAGATTATAGTCTTAGAAACCGTATGGGACTACTCTGACCTATAGGGTTGCTGGGAATGAGAATCGGCTTGTTGGTGGTGGGTTTGGGGGTCGTTAATTGCAGCCTTGGGAGCCTGGAGGAGCATTGCCCTAAGAACAACCGGAGGACAGTGAATTTGGACGTCATTTCCCCCATCCTCTCGTTCAGACCAACTCCCTCCCCACTTTTGTCCCCTCTTTTGCTAATCCCTAGGAGCTTAATTAACAGCAGGAAGGGCTGGGCCCTCCAGTAAGAGATTAGAGATGTAGCCTGTTTACATTCTCACCTCTGGTCTGCTGCTGTTGTTGTTAGGTGCCATCGAGTCAAGTGTGATTCTGTGATTTGTAGCGACCCTGTGAACCCTGTCATGTCCAGGACCATCCTCATCAGCTCTGACACACTTGAGCCCATAGCTTCAGTCACTGTGTCTGTCCATCTCACTGAGGGTCCTTCTCTCTTTCACTGGTTCTCAGCTTTCTCATGTATAATGTCCCTCCCCAAGGAATAGCCTCTCCAAGCAACATGCCCAAAGTATGTGAGATGAAGCTTTGTCATCTTTGCCTACAAGGATCCTTCAGGCTGCACTTTCTGCAAGACATAGCTATTCTCTTGGCAGTCCATATTCCCTGCTCGCTCCAAACACAGCTCCCTGGTGCTCTAGCACTCTTTTTTTCATTTATAGCCTTTATTGACCTTGTCCCCTCCAGCTATTTTCTGTAAATAAAACATGATCGGAATAACTCAATGGCGTTGAGTTGGAACTGACTTCCAGCTGACCATCCAGTGCACTTTCAGAGGTGCATGGGAGGAGATTGCCCATCTCTCTTACAGAGCAGCTGGTGGATTTGAACCTCCTTCCTGCCTTTGAGTTTTCAGTGAAACTCCTTACTCACTAGGGCCCCCAGAGCTGCATAGAGCTGGATTGAGGCTTCAGAGGGCAAAGGGGTATGTTAGAGCTGATAGTATAAATGGATTGTGTGTCAAAGGACACAGGCTTGATACAAAAGTCACCCATCTCACTTCCCCAGTTGGAACTGGCTAGCTTCAGTTTTTAAGGGGGAGTGAGGGTCAAGTTCTCCAGGGAAGGTATACTTCCTGGACTCTGAAATCTTTCCCTTCACGCTCTCACCCTGGGGAAGAGTTGAAAGATCTGGTGCTGGGGTCTTGTAATGTGGAAGGGTGCCTTTATATTTGCCAGTAATGGTGCCTCCCAGGTGCATTCTTTTTACGTTATAACTTTCTCCATCTTTAGCAGCCTTCCTCTCTAGTTAAAAATGGTTGAACAAAAGCACTGAGTACTATTTTTAAATATATATACACTCAGGTTTCACTTTGGAATTTATCAATCTTTGGTCCTTTACCAAGGATTTCCGGAGTTGGAACTATTACGAGTTAAACAAAATATACATTAGTAGCTATTAAAAATAAATCTCATTTCTATAATAGCATATGCCAGTTGATGGAAGAAGCACTGAGAAGAAAGGCATTGTTGAGTGGAGGAAGGAAAGTCTGTCTGTAAACTCTGATCCCTCCCAGAAAGCACCCCAAAATTTGAGATCCAAAAGATTCACCATACCCTGCCTCAAGTCTTTTCCATTCAAGCACTTATATTTACAAATGCTTGAACTTAGTAAATGACAATACCGTTGTTTTGTTTTGAAAGGGAGGATTAGAAAGAAACAAACGACTGTGTATTTTCACTCACTCATTGCCTGAACCAGCCCAGAGCTGACCCAACAGAAGGTTTTCAAGAGGCACCAAACCACCTGGGAGGAGATTGCCCATGGTTCTGGCATGATGCATTGGGTAGATTTGAGCCACCCATTTTTGGCGTGGCTGCACGACTCCCTATT